GACACAGAATACATCACACTGGTCAGCAGTTGGTTTCTACCAAGGGATACAGAACAGATTTTGTCAGCTTTGCAGAAAAGAAAGCCTCTATCAACTAAACTGTGTCCTTGGAGCTTGAAAGCAGCCAAAAGTTACATGTGAATGAATGAGTGTGGCCTGGTGCCAATAAAACTTTATTTATAGACAATGAAATGTGAAATCCATATACTTCTCATGCGTCATAAAAACCAATTTTTCTTTTTATTTTTTTCTCCCAGCTATTTAAAAATGTGAAAATCCTTCTTCATCCTTGAGTTGTAGCTTGATGAGCCTTGATGTTGAAATCCAAAAACACAATTATTGGCAAAACTGACATTTTGTTCCCATGAAAACATGAACCCTGAGTTAATGTGACAACCACATACTGTTTGCTGTTGCTATGGTGTGCGTTTGAATTGGTTCCACTTCATAGCGACCTTGTATAGGGTTTCCAAGTCTGTAAATCCATATGGGAACAGACAGCCTCATCTTTCTTGCGTGAAGCAGCTGGTGGATTTGAACTGCTGACCTTGAGGTTAATAGCCTAGTGTGTAACTCACTATGCCACATAAACTGTTAGTCATATTTTAATGAGATGGGCATGAGTACATTTAAAATAATATCATTTTATTGTGTTTTTGATGAAAGTTTACACAGCAAATATGGTTCCCATTTGACGATTTCTAAATAAAATGTTCAGCGACATTAGGTACATTCTTTACAATTCTCTTTAACTGCATTCAGGTTGTTCCTTTTCTATTAAACTAGTTTCCGTGCCCCTTTATTTTTTCATCTTTGCTTTAGAGGAATTGCTGACCTTTTGATCACATATGGGTGATTTTCTAATGGGGTACCGTACTCATGAATGGTACACTTTATTTTATTTACCAATCTGTTATTTCACTAAAGGGTGATCTCAGTGGGGAGTTTTGGTTCAAGGTTTAAGGAGTATCTCAGAACGATCATCTCAGGGAGTTTTCTAGCCTCAACTATTCCCAGTTAAGTCTGGACTTTATAAAAATTTGCATTCTGTTCTGTTTTTTGTACCTCCCCCCCACCCCCACCCCTGTCCTATCAGGATAAGGGCATTTTAAACAAATGCATAAATGTTGAAAATACTAGCAAATAAAATAAGATTTACAATCATGCTTGTTTGGGTCAATCAAGTGCTGAAGGATTTTGTTTGAAATGGCTTTATTGAGACATAATCCACATACCATCCTTGTTGTTGTTGTTGTTATGAGCCGTGGAGTTGGTTCCGACTCATAGCGACCCTGCACAGGGTTTCTGAGGCTGTAAATCTTTACAGGAGCAGAAAGCCTCCTCTTTCTCCCACGGAACAGCCGGTAGTTTTGAACTGCTGACCTTGCGGTTCGCAGCCCAATTCAGAACCACTATGCAACCAGAGCTCCTTCATACCATCCTTAGCCTAATTAAAATGTCTGATTCTATGTTTTGTAGCATACCCACAGTCATATAAGCAGGATCACAATCTAATTGCATACCAATTTCATCCCCACAGAGAATATGGGATCCATCAGTAGTCATTCCCCGAGTCTCCCTAACTCCCCAACCCCTAGGCAACCACAGTCTACTTTCTGTCTGTATGGATTGGCCTATTCTGGACATTTCTTTTCTTCTTTTTTTAAAAACTTTTTGGTGAATTGAGTGAAGGTTTACAGAACAGAGCATCAGCTTTACAGTCAACAAATCTTACACTGCGTTTCAGCTCATTGATTGCAGTCCCCTCCATGTGATGTCACTTATCCCACTTCCTGTGTTTCCTGTTTCCATTCCTTCTTCTTTCCCCACCCTTCTCCATTGTGTGGTTGGGTCAACGCTGCCATTCTGACCTCAAATGGCTGACCATTTCTATGGTGTGTGTGCCCCCATTAGTGTTTGTTCCCCTTACAGATCTATCTGTTGCTTGACTGCAGTTGAAGCATGCAGTGAGATCAGTTCCAGACCTGAGGGTGACCACTAGTCTCAAGGTTCCACCGGTCTCTATCTGGCCAGTAAGCCTGGTCTTTCTGTGATGTTGAGTTTTGTTCCACGTTTTTACCTACTCTATCCAGGACCTTCTAATGGGATCCCTTTCAGAGACGTTGGTAGTGGTAGGTGGGCACCATCTAGTTCTTCTGGTCTCAGGGTGATGGAGTCAGATGTCCACCCAAGAACTTCCTTATGTATAGACCCAAGACAAATGAAAACAGAGACTCAAATAAATATTTATACACAATGTTCATAGCAGCATTCTTTGTAATGCCCTCAAAGTGGAAACAACCCACAGTTCCGGTACTCCATTGGACTAAATGTTTCTGAGGGTCTTCGCTTCTCATCACTCTTCTTTATGCTGGTGGGAGACACCAATCATTGCACCTTAGAGGGCTGTTCATGAGCTTTTAAGATCCCAGTCTAGATATTTCCTCTAAATGGAACCACACGCTGTGTGGCCTTTTGGGTTGGGTTTCTCTCACTGAGCATCATGATTTTTGAGGTTCATAATGTGTTACTATAACATTCTTTTTATGGTAGAGTAATGGAGACCTAGAGTCCTGGTGTGGTGCTGAGGGCTAATGTGTCAGACAGCAAATTCAGTATGAACTGTAAGGTTGGCGGTTCAAGCTCACCAGCTGCTCCTTGGAAACCCTACACAGGGTCACTATGGGTCGGAAACGACTCGACGGCATTTAACAATAACAACAATACCATAAAATTAGTTTTTAATGGTAGAATGGTGTTAAGGCCATCAAGTCAGTTCTGAATCATGTTAATCCTATTTTGTTGTTGTTGTAGTAAAGTGCCGTTGAGTTGGTTCGGACCCACAGTGACCCTGTATAGGGTTTCCAAGGAGCAGCTGGTGAGCTTGAACCACTGACCTTGCAGTTCTAACAGCTTTGCAGTGTGACGCATTAACCCACAGCGCCACTGAAATTTTAAATCTTTGCAGGAGCAGAAAGCCTTATCTTTCTCCCACAGAGCAGTTGGCAGGCTCGAACTGGAAACCTTATGTTTCATAGTCCAGTGCTTATCCTATAGAGCCACTGTATTCCCCTATGGTATGGCAAAAACTCTCTTTACTGTAGAGTTGTTGTTGTTACGTGCAGTCAAATCAGTTCCATCTCATAGTAACCCTGTATAGGCTTTCCAAGGAGCAGCTGGTGAGTTTGAACCACCAACCTTGTTGTTCAAACGACCTTTTGGTCCGGTGTTTTTCCTACAGCACCACAGCGCAACCATACAATTCTCTTCATGGTAGAGTACTAGTCCATTGTATGAATGGGCCATCTTTCATTTAGCCACGCATCTACTGGTGGTGTTTCCACTTTGGGGCATTATGAAGCACACTGCCATGAACATTGTGTATAAATATTTGTTTGAGTTCCTGTTTTCATTTCATGGGTGTACATGCAGGGGAGTGCTCAGGTGATGCAAATGGTTAACTACTTGGCTGCTAGCTGAAAGGTTAGGAATTTAACCTCGGGACAAAGGCCTGATGATCTACTTCTGAGAAATCAGTCAAGAAAACCCTAGGGGCACAGTTCTATTTGAACATAATAGGGTCACCATGAGTTAAAATTCTCTCAGTGGCAATTAAAAAAAATACATAGGAGTGGAATTGCTGGGTCATATGGTAATTTGTCCTTAATATCCACCCCCCCCACCAATAATTTCCAAATGTCCTATGGTTTGGTTCAATCAAACTTGTCTGGATTGGAGGGGTTTTCTGCCTCTTTGGAGCGAGCGAGCCAGCAACTGCAATTCCAGATCTAGCCATGGGGTGTCGCCCTCAGATAGAAAGATGCCTCCCAGCCCCTGGGTCCAGATTTCACTGGCTTTCCAGCCTCCCTGGGACAGACAGAGCAGGGTCTGGGGCGATGCTCTGCTAAAGCACTGACTGTCTCTAAATCTCAGTTTGCCCCTGTGTGAAATGGGTGTACATAATAAAATGCCTCACTGAGGGTGCTGCAAAGGCCCAGGGAGACATGAGCATTGTTCCTAGGATAGGAAGTGTGTGCTACAGAGTCCTGGTGTGGCACTGTGGGTTAATGCGCCAGACTGCAAAGCCGTTTGAACTGCAAGGTCAGTGGTTCAAGCTCACCTCGGAAACCCTAGACAGGGTCGCTATGGGTCGGAACCGACTTGACAGCACTTAACAACAACAACAACAAGGAGCTCTGGTAGCGTAGTGGTTACGAATTGGGCTGCTAACCTCAAGGTCAGCAGTTCGAAACTACCAGCTGTTCCGCGGGAGAATGATGAGGCTTTCTGCTCCTGTAAAGATTTACTGCCTTGGAAACCCTATACAGGGTCACTATGAGTGGGAACTGACTCCATAGTACAAAACCACCACCACCACCAGGGTCATGAAAGTATCCCATAACCCCATGAAGTGGGTATCAGTCCAGTTTACAGAAGACTAAGTAAGGCTCAGCATGAACTATGAGGACAGAGGAGCCAGTGAAGGCCCAGGCTGGTGAAAGCTTGGAGGAGATTTCCCATTTGGTCAGCTCACTGGGTCATACCAGCAGGCCCACCAGCTAAAAGCCTTGAGTGCCTGAGACGTGGTGCCCAGAGGCCATAGTTCAACCACAAGCTTTGGTGTCACAATGGGTAAGCACTTGCTGCTAACCAACAGGTCAGCGGTTCATACCCACTTAGAGGTTCCCCGGGAGAAAGACTTGGTATTCTGCTCCCCTAAAATGACAGCCTAGGAACCCCATGAGCAGTTCTCCGTGAGTTGGAATTGACTCGAAGGGACCCAACAACAGACGACACAAACGGAACACACTGGATCTCAACGGTTCTAAAAACAGTACTGGAATTAATACATTAATGTTGCGGTGAGGTTACAGAGGCTGGAGTATGGTCTCCAAACCCTTATGTACACACTTCCCCAGAGGGAAATGGTTACACAGAATCAGCCAGGATGCAGCAGGCCTGGGTCCCAAGGGAGGGACCGGACCCTCTTCCTCTCTCAGCTAGGAGTGGTTCAAGAGCGAATTCTGAATGTCTTCCAGAACTTGGTAGAACAGCTCCTCGCGGGACTTCGTGCCATCCAGGTATACTGAAATCAGAAGGGTGATGGTCAGGGGACTGCTGTGATTCAGGCCACCACCAGCAGGCAGCTGGCCAGCTCATAAGGGGGACAGGCAGACTGCTAGATCAGGAGGCAAGTGGCATGCCTGCTGAATCAGTCTACTGGAATTGAACAATTGTTGAGCTAAAAGCAAGAGGGACTGTGAGTGAGACTTAAAGAGGGACTTCCAGGTTTCCCAAATGGCCTCAAATGGATGTTTGTTCATTCATCTGTTGATGGGTGCTTGGATTGTTTCCACTTTGGGGGTCTTAGACATGTGTGTTCTAGGCCTCTTCTTGCTCGGGGACTTACCCACTTCCACACCCTTGGCCTCCATCTCCTGTTTGTACTTCTGGTACATGGGCCACACGTGGCCGTCAAAGAGGCCCGGGGGGTCTGGGACCGTGTACTTGCGGGTGCTGGGGAGAGAGATGGGTGATAAGAGAGACTTGTCTTTCCCAGGAGACTGGTCAGCTCACTGTCAGGGTGTTTGGCTGAGGAAGGATCCCCTCAGCCAGAGTCAGAGTTTGGATACTTCTGCCTCATCCCAGGGGTGTAGGAGACGTGGACTGGGGGGAGAGAGGACATCGTTCTTCATGCCCTGAGCTGTGGACTGCCCCAGCTACGTGCCCACCGACCACTGGTTTGCTGTAGGATGACCCTGTGTCTGGTGGGTATTTCGGGGTCCCCTGGTTCCACTGGACTCACCTCCGTCTCCGTTTGCACTCCTCATACGGAACGGTCAAGAAGTATCTTTTGCTGTACAAATCCACCAGGGGCCTGGAGGTGGGGGGGTGGGGGTGGGAGGCATAGTCAACTCGTGAGTTTTTTTGTCCCGTGGTCAAATACCCTGCTGTCTTGCAGTTGTCTCACTAGGGTTGGTGGCTCCTAGGTGGTGACTCATGATATCACCATCTCATGGATATAGGTTTTCACAGATAGTAATTGCCACAAAGTTGCAGCAAAGACACCAGACAACTGGACAAGATCAGTGGTATAAAATGAGCAGCAGCAGCAATGCCAACAACATTGTATGGTTGTAACAGATGAAACCATGTGACTCAAAGCAACATTATGATAAGGACAGCTCTGACCCGAGGATTGTTGTTGTTGTTAAGTGTTGTTGTTGACTCAAAGCGATCCTGGATAGGGTGTCTGAGGATCAACAGGTGGGTTTGAGCGGCTGACCCTGTGGGTCACAGTCCAGTGCTGATCCCACAGTGCCACACCACGAAACCAGAGCATTAGATTAAGAAAGCAAATGAGCATGGAGTTTTAGCCTTGTGGGTATATGCAAGCTGGGCCCATGAGAAATGTTTTTGTTATTATAACCATGTTGTTGTTGTTGAGTGCTGTTGAGAGACCTTGTACAGGATTTCCAAGGATTGTTGGGTTTTAACTGTCAACCTTGTGATTAGCAGTCCAGTGTGATCTTACAGCGCCATACCAGGATTCTGGTGGTGGTGGTGATGGTGATAGTGATGTATGGTTGAATCAGTTCCAACTCATAGCCACCCTGTATAGGGTTTCCGAGGCTATAAATCCTTATTGGAGTAGAAAGCCTCATTTTTCTCCCGACGAACGCTGGTAGTTTCAAAGTGCTGACCTTGAGGTTAGCAGCCTGACTTGAAACCACCATGCTACCAGAGCTCCTTATAACTTACTATAGGGATATTTTTATGAAAAAATAATAATTTTCTGCTGAAATACTACACCCAAATTTTAGACAGTCCTTTTGGTGTTACCCCCCTATGACAGTGTCACCCCATGTGGTCCTCACCCTCATGTGTTCCCCCAGTGATGCCACTGACTCTTGGTCTTGGCCCCAGGGACTCTCTAGGTAGGGTTGATTTCATGGACACACCTAATGGAGACATGAGGGTGTGTGTGTGTGGGGTGTCTGGGTCATTAGTTTTAGCGTCTAGGAAGGGGACAGTGAATTATCCTGCATTAGCACACCAGGACTCCAGGAACACCCCTAAGGCATCCCAAAAACCCCCCCATCATCCCAGTAGGGGTTTACCACCCTCAATATGGGATTTATAAACACCCCAATCCATTTACGATTCAGACACCTAAAGATCCCATTTATGTCAGAGTAGGCCTGAGCTCCCTAGGGTTTTTGTGGCTGTGATCTTTATGGAAGCAGATTACCAGGCTTGTCTTCCACGCCACAGTTGGGTGAGTTCCAACTGCTAGCCTTTCTGTTAGTGTTGTTGTGTTGTGAAGTGCCATCGAGTCGGTTCCAACCCATAGCGACCCTGTATAGTGTTTCTGAGGAGCAGCTGGTGAGCTTGAACCATCAACTTTGCAATTCAAAGCGACTTTGTAGTCCAGCGCCACACCAGGACTCCAGTTAAGTGCAAACCATTTGAGCCCCCCAGGGACCTCAGGATGAGACCCACCCCTGATGATTGCCAGGTCTTTCTTCCCAGGTGCCTCAAAATGGGTGCCACCCAATTTGGATGGGCACAGAGAGTTGCAATGACTTGCCAGGTCATACAGCCCACTGCTCTGCGGGAGAAAGCCCAGGTTTGAGATGGAGGACTCAGTTTCCCTGAGAAGGGTGGATATTACCCCCTGGTCCTTAAGTTGACCCCAGATGTGCCCCTCCTGCTGCCCCCGGAAACTAAGAAGTGTCCGGAAGCTCCTGGCGCACTCGCTCACTTGTAGCTGTAGAGCAGGAAGCCTTCGAGGATGAGGATCTGCGTGTCTGAGGCCTCCGGTGGGACGCTGACCCCATGGGCGCGGGCGAACTTGTGGGGGCTCCTGATCCAGGCCTGTACTGTGCTCAGCATGGCTTCCATGTCCAGCGACTCCAGTACTGGTGGCGAGAGAGGGGGTGTTAGAGAGGGGCCGCGGGATGGGGGGCCATGGGGAGCAGAGGGGAGGCACTGGTGGTCCTTACCGTCCCACTGTTTGAAGCCGTCCTCCCCAATTCTTATTTGGTCTTGGGGCTGAAACAGAGGCGCCCAAGCCGGGCTCAATGCCTGGGCCTCCTCTCCAACCCTACCCCCTGGGGGAACGGGGTCTCTGGTCGGAGCTTCAGTTTGCTATCCCCTTTCCGGGTTAGGAGTGGGATAGATCGAGCTGACTTCATACCCCTCCTCCACCATCTCCTTCCCCACCCCCACCCTGGGCACAAGAAACACAGAAGGGAAAAAGGCATGGGGTGGCATTTCCTGATCCATAGGACAGCAGGGGTCCCTACTGTGGTGTGTCTAATGGGAGTGGGTGGGCACACAGCAAACAGGAGCCCCCATCTTCACTTCACCCCGGGGGGTGGGGGGTGATGGGAAGGGCCAGGAAAGTAGAGGCCTGTGCCTAGCCCATGGGGCCATGGGGCAGCAGAGGACAGGGCTGGCTGAAGCTCCCTCCACTCCAGGGCTAAGGTGGTACCTTGTAGAAGTCATCCTGGTGGATCACACAGCAGTTGGGCACTGACTTGAGGAGGCGGTTGGTCAGTGTGGTCTTACCACCGTTGGTGATGCTGGGGAGATAGTATTGTGTGGGTAAGGCTGCCAGAGCCACCAGACAAGAGCTGAGGTCCAGCTTGATCCTATGTATCTACATCTACTCAGGAGACAAGAGCTATGGTGGGCAGAGTGAATGGACAGATGAGGTCTGAGGTTCAGCCTGACCCACTTTATCTTTGTTTCAGGAGCCACCCTCCCAACCAGCTCCCCAGGACTAACCCTAAATAGATGATAAAACACAAAACTATAAAACCATAGAGCAGACAAGAGAATATTTGTATTCATCTAAGGTTGGGGAGGGGTCCTGGTGAGGTGCTATAGGATAAGCACTGAACTGCTAACTGCAAGGTTGGTGGTTCAAACCCACTGGCCACTCCTCGGAAACCCTACACAGGGTGGCTATGAGTCGAAATTGACTTGACAGCACTTAACAAGGGTCTGGTAGAGTGCTTGGGGGCCCAAAATGGAGGTTGTGCTCAGCTATTAAAACTAAAAAGTTTGAGGTTCGAGTTCACCTAGAAGTGCCTCAGAGGAAAAGCCTGGCAACCTACAACCAAAAAACCTACCATTGCAAGTGCCACGGAGCACAGTATTGGTCATCATGAGTTGAGGTAAACTCAGTGGCAACTGGTAAAGTTAGCAGAGGCTTTCTGAACAGCCAAAAGGAGCAGGAAGCATGAAGGAAGAGTAAAAAAAACCTAACACTATTTGCAAACTTACCATGCACCTGTCTGAGCACTTTGCCTAGGTCGACACATGGAATACTTACCACAATTCTCAGAGGTGGGAAGCCTATTTTTTACAGACAAGGAAACTGAGAGCCAAGCCCAATTTATTGTGGTTGTAGTTAAGTGACGTCGAGTAGGTTCCGACTCATCGTGACCCTGTGTAGCGTTTCCAAGGCTTTAAATCTTTGCCGGAGCAAAAAGTCTCATCTTTCTCCCACAGAGCAGCTGGTGGCCTCGAACTACTGGCCTTGTAGTTTTGCAGTCCAATGTTTATCCTACGAGCCACCATACCTGATTTAGGGCTTAAAATCCTTTTTTTTTTTTTTAAAGGGCTTAAAAAAAATAATTTTAGGGCCTACAAAGACCAAAAACATAAAAAAGGACAAAATTTTAAGCAAACCAAGAGGAAAATTTGCAAGAAAAAAGTTAGCAGTTCACTTTCAAACCAGAAAGAGGGAATTGATTTATGAAAAGATGTAAAACCTCAATACTACAGCAAAAACAAAACAATAGCCGAAAACCCCAAGCAAAAAAAATGTACAACGGTTGCTACATGCATATTAACCACAATAAAAACACAAAATATCCCAAAGCGAAAGAAAAGATGTTCAACCTCTGTGACATATCTATTTACCACAAAACAAAACAAAAGACAACCTCATTTGCAACCATGAAAGGATTAGAAAAAGCAAAGGAAATTGACTAAAACAAAGGAAATTGACTAAAACAAAGGAAATTGACTAAAAAGCAGCTGAGTAAACAGGGTGAGCAACTTGCCCTGTGCACACATGAGACTTTCTGTTCTTATCAGTGAAAGTCTTGTGTTCTGGAAAGTCTCCATGCCTGGCAAACCAGAGGGTCAGCTACTTTCTGATAAAGAGACCAAAGAATGATGACAAAAGATAGGAACTTTCTGGAAGGTGAGTGGGAGATATTTTGTAAAGACCTTGTCACTTTGATCCAGTTGTCCTTTTTCTAGGAATTAGGGCCACAAAGCTGGATGTGGCAGAGATGACAAGCTCTCCCTCCTCTAAAGAAATCAAATCAGTTAACTCAAGTCAGTTGAGTCAACTTTGTACTCTATAGGATTTTTGAGGTTGCAAGCTTTGGAAGCAGATTTGCTAGGCCTTTCTTCTGAGGTGTCTCTGAGTGGGTATGAATAACTAAACTTTTGGTTACTAGTTGAGCGTTTAACTGTTTGTATCACCCAAGGATTTCTTAGGTGACAATCAGCAGTCAAGGAGAAAAGTCCTCCCCACCCCCCCATAAACCCACATCCACTGAGTGACCAATTCCGACCGTTGTGATCCTATAAGACAGAATAGAACTGCTCCTTTGCTTATCTGAGGTTGTAACTCTTTATGGTAGCAGAAAGCCTCATCTTTCTTCCTCGCAGCAGCTGGTGGGTTTGAATTGCCAACCTTGCAGTTAGCAGTCCAATGCATCTGCCACCAGGGCTCCTTAAGTGCAAAGAGTAGGTTAGAGAGCACCTACTAGTAATCTGTGTCCTTACTAGAAAGGCATACGTTATGCTGAGGGCCAGCTACAGAATTTTCCAAGCACTGCACAAAATTAAAATGTGGAGCCCTTTACGCAAAGCATTGTAAGAATGTAAAAATGGGGACCGAACCTTGAACTAAACTGGGGCTGTGAAGCTGGCTTTCGTCACACTAAATGAACAGAAATAACAACACCAAAAACCCTCAAGTTGATTCTGACTCATGGAGACCCCATGTGTGCAGAGCAGAACTGTGCTCCACTGGGTTTTCAATGATCTTTATGAAAGCCGACAGCCAGGCCTTTTTTCTGCAGCACCACTGAGTGGGTTAAACTGTCAACCCATCACCCAGGGGCCTCCTATAATTTTTCTATCCCGACTAGTATTTGTTCTGACATCATGGTTAAAGAAGGAGCATGCTCTTCATTTAGAAAATTAAAAAAAATGGACTAGACCCTCCACCTAGTTTTCCTGCTGGAGATGCTGAGCTACAGGACAAAATCCCTCTTCGTGCTCAAATGTCAGGTGGCGAGGTCCTGTGCCTTCAGGCCCCGGGGGCAGCTGTCCATTCATTGTCACTCACCCTCCAATGCCAATGATGAGCTTCATCTCTGCACACAGGGCTGGATGGTGGGGATGGTGCTCTGTGGTTTGTGGGTGCCCCAACTTCCAGGAGTCCAGACTGGGCGGACCCCGTAGTGCGCTCCTTGCGTGCCCCAACTTCATTGAGAAGACCTGCCGACTTTATAGCCCAGGAGGGTGGGGGCAGGTGGGGATAGCACCTGTTCCTCAGATGAAAATAGCATCCGATGCCTTTTGCCTAAATTAGTCACGGGCCAGCTGGGCAGGGTCTGGCAGGAGGTGGAGGTCACCCTAGCTGCCTCATCCCTCATTTTCCCTCCTGCTTCCAGCCCCTCCCTTCCCATCCTCCCTCTCCTCTGTCCCTTCCTTACCCCCTTCCCTCCTACCCATCTCCTTCCGCTTTTGCCACCTCTCTCTCCCTCCCAGCTCCTGGCTCAAGAGTCCACGGGACAGATAAGGGCCATTCCATTTCCTTCCTAAAAATATCCTTTTCCAGTTTGTGTCCCTGGGCCTGACCCTGACATTAACACTAGTCCTTGCGGTGTTGAAAAAGGGGACTCACCCTCCCACCTTCCTTGTGGTCAGCAGCAGCGCCAGGCCCAGATCTCAGCTTTGTGGGGGACTTCCCTTTCCAAGGGACTGTGGCCAACATGGGCCTTAAGCCCAGAGCCACTACAAGTCACAAGATGGCCTTGCTGTGGTCACCAGGACAATCTCAGCGTGACTCGAGGGAGCAGTGGTGAGGACCTGCCATGTGTGGTGTGGTCACTTGATTCAGCTTCAGAAGTAGTCTTGGAATGCGTGTTGGCTGGTGGGCAGTGGTGAGGGTCTGAACATGCTGACCCTGCTCTGGACCTATGAAAACTGAGGGACACAGCTGCAAACACACTCGTCCACATTCAAACAGCTGCTTATGGGCGGAACTGGGACCTGCATCAGACAATGGGAGCTCGGAACTGGAGTTTTGGGGTCTCTGCGGATCCAGAAAGTTTTGTGTAAGTGGATTGTAGTCATTGGCGGTTCAAGCTCACCAGCCACCACTCCCTGGAAACTCTATATAGGGTCACTATGAGTCGGAACTGACTTGATAGAACTTAAAGATAACAATAGTCATTGATAGGATGTCCACCTGGCATGGCTCTATAGCATCAGCAGCGAGCCGCTAACCACAAGGTTGGTGGTTTAAGCCCGCCAACCACTCTTTGAAAACCCTATACAGGGTCACTATGAATCAGGACTGACTTGATGGCACTTAACAACAGTAATGACAGTCATTGATAAGAAATCAATGCAGTGCAAACAGGAAGTGAACTCTGCTGCTAACCCAAAAACCTTTGGTTCAAGTCCATCCAGAGGTACCTCAGAAGAAAAGCCTGGCAACCTGCTTCCAAAAGATCTCAGCCTTGACAACCCCATGGAGCAGATCTACTTTGAGACACGTGGGGTTTTGTCACAAGTTGGAATTGACTTGATAGGAACTAGTTCGGTTCCCCGCTCTCCCCACTGCTGACACCCAAGGTAGTCCGAATGGCCTCCTGTCCACTCCATCCTGTCCTTCAGCTCCCTGTGCCCGCCTCCCCCAGACCTGCTCTGCCTTCTAGCTCTTGTCCTTGCTGTTTCTGCTGCCCCTCTCCTCCCGGGACCACCTGACTACTGCTTGTCTGTTAGCTCCTCCAGGGACCCTTCCTGACCTCCCCTCCTGGGCCATGTCGAGCTCCCCCACTGGGCAGAGAGCAGCATGGGGGCTCTCTGATCCCTGCTGTATCCCAGTGACCAGTGAATTATGTGATTGAGTGAGTGAGTAGATAAATGGATGAATGAGTGAATATGTGTGAGTGAAAGAATGAATGCCTGAGTACATGAATGATTGATTGAATGAATGAATGGAAGAGAAACCCCTTGGGGGGCTCATGGCCCCCACACTACAAGTGTCCCCACCATCTCCATGCTAGCAGTCCCCTGACTCTCTCCCGCCCCTCCATGGAACAGCACCCCCACCCTCCCTTCCCAGAACTCTCAGTGCCCCCCTGTCAGGGGACCCCTCCTTCTGAAATCACAGGAGGGACCAGGTGGGCTCAGACCTGCCCCTCCCTTGCCATTGAGCTGGCTGTGGCATTGGCACCCTGACACATCAAAGTCTCATGATCACAGGTGTGGCTGATGGCAGGAACCCCTGCCGCCCCGTGTGTGACCGACCTTAGGCCATATCACTGCTCTGTGCCTCCGCCCCCCCCCCCACAGTAACATGGGGAGGGTACAGGCTGTTACCCTATTTTATTGATTCCAAAGAGATCTGGGGGCAGAAAAGGAAAGTTGGATTGAATTGTTGTTAAGTGCCATGGAGTCGGTTCCAACTCATAGTGACTCTGTGTAGGGTTTCTGAGGAACGGCTGGTGAGTTTGAACTGCCAACCTTTGGTGGTTTTAAACTGACCTTCCGGTCAAGTGCTTATTCTACAGTGCCACACCAGGATCGAATTGTGTCTCCACAAAATAGGTGATATAAATAGTACGTAAGTCCTCACTCCGACGGCAGCACATACTATACGTGAGCAAAGAGCTTTCTAAGAAATCTCAGAGAAGGATAACATAAGTGTTACTTTCATGGATCATGGATTACAAAAGAGCTTCATCACTTTTGAGGCTGCAAGAGACAAATACCTTCCCCTAGAGATAGCGCCCCTGAATCTGGACTTCCAGCCTCCTAAACTGTGAAATAATACATTCCTGTTCATTAGCGCCATCCCCTTGTGGTATTCTTGGTACAGCAGCAATAGAGAAGGATGACATCAGAGGCAGGGCAGGAGATCTTCACAACACAGCCAGCTGGCTCACCATTCTACAGAGAAGACCCGCCCTCACTGAGTTGGATCCCAGCTGTGTATCCTCCCCAGCCCTCCACATCACATCCCTTAGCAAATCGACAAAAGCAACCAACCTCCTTTTGTACTTACTATTTATTTCACATAAAAATCCCCCCAGAGCCCATGGGACTGATGTCTTCACATCACTGTCATCAGCCTACTTCTTGTATGCGTTTTTTAAAAACACCTCAAACCTCACTGTCGAAAGGATGGACATTTGGTTTCTTTGAGATCAACAACTTAAGGGGGAAGGCTCAGGACGCATCTTCTGTTAACAAGAGAAAGTTCCAGTTTCTGCAAAGACAGCTGCTGGTGGTCCAGTATGCTGTTTTTGCCCAAACTGGCCTCTATCTATAAATGACTCACAAAACAAAGTCTCTAGAGTGCTTAGAAAGGGACTGTGTGGACTGAGCTTCAAGTCACCAGCCACCCAGAGTTGGGTGGATGCCTGGCGGCCCATTGGGGGTTCCAACAGTAAGAGTCTGCCTGGCCTTAGTGGGGATCTCGCTCTTCTTTCTGGAGAGTTCTTTGTGGCTGAATTGGGGGTCCTTGATTCAGTGTCCTTTCTCTGTGGCTGCTGGTGATCTAGGGGTGGTGGGTGGGCCATGGTGTTGAGGTGGTCCTCCCTGTTGAGCTGGAATCCTTGTTTATCAGTGTCTTCCTGCTCTTGTTGGTTGCTATGGAGTTACTAAAATGTTGCCTGGTTCGCCAACATCTTTGGGCCCTAGGTGGTTGGTAAATGGAGCTGGCTGGCTGGGTTGTTCTCCCTGGATAGTCTCTTTCTGAGCTGGAAAGAGATTCGTCTTCAGTGATGAACAAGGATTAGGGATTGTTACTTTTGTAGGAAGAAGGTTCAAGCTGGAGTAAAGTGGAGTGTGTTTGGCCTTTATAGGAGATCCTATTCGCAGGGTGGTCTGATGGCTTTGCTCATCTTGTACTGGCCTTGGGGTGGGGGCCTTCTGGACCACGTTGACTTTTAATGGGCAGTGGTGGCACCCAAATCCTTGGGAGCTTGTGACTGGGCTGATGTGCCAAGCCCATTGCATTCCAAGTCATGGCACCCCCATGTATGTCAGAGTAGAACTGCTCTGGAGTTTTTTTTTGGATGTCATCTTTATGGAAGCAGATCTTCCACGGAGCTGAGGGTGGACTTGAACCTCCAGCCTTTATGGTAGCAGTCTAGTGCAATCCACTGTGGCTGCTCAGGGACTCCACTGATGCACAGAGCACCTTACTTTGTCAAAAGGAGACACTCTGGTCAGAGGTGGGAGAGAAAGGGGAAAGACCTCTTGGTACTAGGTTCCAGGTGCCTCAGGGAGACACGCAAGGACAGGGCCCGTGCCCTCCATGCTTCGGGTCCTTTAATTAGCACGTGAGAAACAGATCAGAAACAAAAATGCCAAAAGCCCACCAAACCCCCAAATGTCCCAGCCTCTTAGGGGCAATGCTGAGACCCAGGAAATGTCCCCAAGTGGAGTCTGCAGGCCCAAGCCCACTCAGAGACCCTATATTTTCAGGGCAGGGGTAGTGGATCTTGGAGGGGCGGTGTGGGGAAACAATGTATCTGTGCCTTGCAATTTGCAAGCACTTGATATCCCTCCTGTCTTTGGGACAACCCCAAATGTGTCTCCTTCTGCTAAGCTGAGAAGCTCCCAACATTTCCACTGAAGCTGGAGTTGAGATCCTCAGTCTTGAAAATTGTGGAGCCTGTCCACCAAACCCCAAAACACTTTCGGAGAAGCACAGCCTGAAGGGATGCCTGGAGAATGTGTCTGCTCAACTTCTGGTTAGATTTGACCAAGAGCCACCTGTCTGGTGTTTGGACCACATTAGAAAAGTCTAACTCTCTTTAAAGGGAGATTTGTCTGAGCTTTGAGCAAGGGTGGCGGTAGAGCTTTCTGTTCCACCTGGTCACTTTTTGGGCATCTCTAGCCTCCAATCGACTTGGGTTTATTGTCTTTGAAGTACTTTGACATCCAGTACCCTGTATCTTCCTCCTTCCAGATCCATGCTTCCGGAACGAGCCTGTTTCAGAGCCTGCTGTTCATTCTCTGCTCTTGGCAGGAAGTCCATGTGGTGGGTCTCCACCCAGCGCTGGGTGAGTGGGGGCAGCTCATCCCTTCGGTAGGAGGTATTGACCGTGATTGTCCTTTGGCGTGGAGTCCATAGTCAGGAGAGTTAAAAGTGTTTAGGGTCAAGAGGGGTGTTTTTTTTGTTTTTTTGACAACTGTTAATGACTCCTGCTTGTGGTATGGGCTCTGAAGCTCCCAGAGAGAGAGAGAGAGAGGAGAGAGTTATCTCAGAGGTGAGTGTAATTTTGGATGTGAGGTCTGAGAGCGAGAGGAGGCCAGGCCACATTCCCCTGGGAGGTGAGCTCCCAGGCTGGAGCCCAGAAGCTGAGGGTGGCTGTCCTGGCAGGAAAGGCACAGAAACAAAACCAGAGACAGCCAGGATGCCAGTGGGTAGCCGTGACTCTGACCTGGGGAGGGTAACAAGCAAGAGAAGGGTCTTGAATGAAGACCTGGTGTCCAGTGCTGGCCATGGGTCAGCTGGGACAGAGAGGTGTCTCTGAGGCTACAGAGCTGGGAGCAGGGTAGAGACCACCTAGGATGCATGGTCCTGGCCTTTCTCATTTTTCTGGACTGGGAAGTTCATGAGTGTGGAAGGGAGGAGGGCTGAGAGTGGGCCCTTTTCTGGAACACACAAATACTGAATGGTTAGAAAAAATGTTTTCAAGCAGCTTAAAAGGGCACTGGGTTTCAGAGATGGATGGAAGAGCCTGGGAGCCTCAGAGGAATGGAGCTCCTAGTGAGCAGGGTGAGATCGGGGCCAGCGGGTGGCTGACATTTGTTTCAGGGCACCAGAGTCTCCACGGTATCCCTGTCTGTATTCATGCTTCTTCAGGACATGCTGGAGAGGGAGAAACACAGGTCAGGTTATTTTCTTTAAAGAAAGTGGAGAATGCTACCCCATGTGGGTGGAATCCAAAAATAAAAGGTTCTAATCTGCCTTTCAGTGCTCGCCCCACAGAGGAAACACCTTCCAAATGTTGCTCTGAAAGGGGTCTTCTTCTCGGGACCCCAGGAGAGCAAACCCCAGAGACCAGAAGGAGTTTTTAACATCTGTTCATCATCTATTCACCTGCCCATCCATCTTCTCATCCCTCCACCCACCATACATCAATCCACTCATCCGTCCACATATCCATCATCCATTCAGCTATCCATTTATCCATTCATCTGTAGATCCATCCATTCATCCCTCCATCCACTTACCCATCCATCCACTTGCCACATATCCATCATCCATTCATCTATCCATTCATTCATCCCTCCATACACTTACCCATCCATTCACTTGCCACATATCCATCATCCATTCATCCACCTACTCATCCATCCACCATGCATCAATCTATTCATTCATCCATTTACCCACTCATCCATCACCTATCCATTCATTTACTTGCTCAATTATCCACTCATCTACTTGCCCATCCATTCTTCATTCACTTGTCTATCCAACTATCCATCCCGTCTTCCTCTTTCCCTCCTTACAAGTCCTTTCAGAATCCCTTCTATTTTAAACATGCACATTTCATCATCTCTATCTGAGAATCTCTGGAGGAGAAGAGGGTCTAATTGTGCTGTTTGTTGCAGCTGCTGACTTTTGCTCATGGTGGATGGTTTCCTTGTGTGTCTTGTGGATGTGATTTCAGCTCCAGAAAGACACTGAAGACTTATTTCTACCTTGGGCCTGCTTGATTTCACACCATTTTGGTGTTTATGTCTCATCTTCATCTACGTGGTTAGGACCTGGTTGCACATTTGTAGGGAAGTGTGTGGTAAAAGGAGGGTGGTTGAAAACAAGGGAAAACCACTATGAGATGTAGAATCTGTTCTGACTCTTGGTGATCGTATGTAGAACACACGGAAACATTGACAAGTCCTGTACCATCTTCATGGACTCAAACATACCAGTAAGCATGAATCAGATCACCAAGAGTCAGAATGAATTCTACCGCGATTAACAACACATACAGGAAAAGATGAACTGTGCAACTTAACAACACTACCACAACATTTGGCTCTTGCCTGGATCCTGGTAAGTAGCCTTCCAGATCTTGGAATATCCTGCCAGGTAAGAATGTCTTTGTTTACCTGGAGGCCTTGAGCCATACCTGACGGTCTATGCTAACATCACAGTGGTTTTATGTGGGGGGCTTTGGGCTATAAGGACCATCTTAACCACTGGAAGGACTGGAGACTAAAGCTACACAGGTGGTCAGTTGTATCCAAGTGATGGACAGAGCCCTGGACATTAAATGTTATGGACGGGACTGTTCCCCCAAAATGTGTCAACTCAGTTAGGCTAGGATTCTCAATATGAAGTAATTATCCTCCAGTTTGTAATCTGATGTAATTATCTTATGTGTATCATACCCTAATCTCTAGGGATGTTAATGAGACATGATGTGAAGCTGTGATGTTAATGAAGCCAGACGCAAGCTACAGGATTAGCTTGTATCTGGAGTCAATCTCTTCTGAGGTATACAAAAAAAAGATTTAATAAATAAGCAGAGAGAGGAATGTGACTATCATCGAGAAAGAAGAGTCAGGATTGAAGCATGTCCTTTAGACCCAGAGTCCCTGTGCTGAGAACCTCCCAGGGGAAGATTGATACCAAGACACATAGAAATCCCCAAGGAGGGCCAGACCCACAAGATGCTGCAAGGAGACAAGGACCTTCCTCCTAAATTGTGAGCACAGAAAGCCTTTCCCTAGAGCTGGTGCACTGAATTAGGGCATTGAGTCCCTTAAACTTTGAGAAAATAAACTTCTGTTTGTGACAGTTACCCCCTTGTGGTATCTCTGTTATTGTAGCACTAGAGAACAAAGACACCAAGGTTCAGGGGAGTTTCCATGGTTGGCAATACTTCAGCTTGTCTTCACATATCACTGCTGGAAGAAATAGGCATTTTTATACAACTCCACTGGGCAAGAGCATCTGGAAGTTCATGCCTGGTCTCTCCTATGCCCTATGTGGCATTGGCATTGCAGCTTTTGATGTGTATCCTTTTGCTATAATAAACTGCAACCTTGAGTATAATGGTTTTGCTGAGTCTTTCTAGTGAATCACTAGAGGGTGGTCTTGGGGCAACTTTGCTGACATCTGGAGCCAGGCCAAGACACTGAGTCAGGCCATGGGCCAATGGTCCACTCTGTCAAGAAGGCATATCCTGGTTTCTGGGGGCTTGGCTTAATGTGGGTACCTCTTTCAGGGCTACTATGTTCCCAAGCTCTGGGCCTCATTCACATGCTGATCTGTGGAGATAGACAGCACTTCCAGGGACAGGTTGGTGTTGCTGTAACCACATTGCCCCGACCTCCCCTCCCTACCCCCCACCACGGTGCACATCTCTTTGGTCAGGCTCCTCTCTGAACGTTTCCAAAAAGGCACCAACCACCAGGCTTCACACCCACCTGGTTTCCTGATCCTCTCTGACCAGAGCCGAACTGTGGAAAAGGAAAAGGAGTGTGAACTGCATGCCAGTGTGTTGGACCCTCAGCATGTCTACATGTTGCAACTGTAAGCCTCATGGGGGCTGACACAGCTTCATCTTGGTCTGATATGAAGCAAATGTCAGAGGTGATTGGCTACATAACAATCACCTCTGGAGCAGGAATCGAAAGCACAAATGAACCCAGTAAATGCTGTTCTAGACTGCCTGGGTCGGGCAAACAGTGGCCATGTTTGGCTGTTAACTGAAAGGTTGACAGTTTGAGTTCATTCAGAGGAGCCTCAGAAGAAAGTCCTGGCAATCTCCTTCTCAAACCTAAGCCATTAAAAATCCTACGGAGCACATTCTACACTGACATCTATGGAGTTGCTATGAGTTGGTGTCAGATTGATTGGCACTGGTCTTTATTTATTTATTTTTAAGAGGGACAAGAAAAAGATCAGTGGTTGCCAGGGGCCCAGGGAAGGCTTGACTAGTGGGGGGTCAAGGGCCTTTTGGATGGTTTATCCAAACATCAAAAAGGTGCTGGGCTCGGATCAACCATTAATACTCATGGAAGCAGTAGTCAAGAAATCAAACAACATATTGCATTGGGCAAATCTGCTGTACAAGCCCTCTTTAAAGTGTTGAAGAGCAAAGATGTCAGTTTGAGGACTAAAGTGCGCCTGACCCAAGCCATGGTATTTTCAATAGCTTCATATGCATGTGAAAGCTGGACAGTGAATAAGGAAGGCCGTAGAAGAATTGATGCATCTGAGTTATGGTGTTGGAGGAGAATATTGAAAGTACCATGGACTGTCAAAAGAACAAGCAAATTTATGTTAGAAGAAGTACAATCAGAATGCTCCTTAGAAGCCAGGACGGCCAGACATTATCTCCCATTCTTTGGACATATTATCAGGAGGGACCAGTCCCTGGGTAAAGTGGAGGGTCAGAGAAAAAGAGGAAGACCCCCAACCGGATGGGTTGACACAGTGGCAGCAACAATGGGCTCAAGTATAGCAACGGTTGTGAAGTTGATACAAGACTGGCCAATGTTTGGCTCTGTTGTGTATAAGGTGGCTATGAGTCAGCACCGACTGGACAGCACCTAACCCTAATAAGGGTCTCTTTTTAGAGCAGTGACGTTTTTCTACATGATACTGTCATGGACACCTGACATTATACATTTGTCAAAACCCACAGGTCTGTACAGCACCCTAGTGAACCGGATTATGGACTTGAGTTAACAAGAAATGTATCCGTCCATTAATTGTAACAAATGTATCATACAAGTGCAAGGAGGTAACACCAAGAGAAATTGTGAGCACTGGGGAGGGACTTTTGGCACAATTTTTCTGTAAACATGAAACTGCTCTTTAAAAATACTAAAAAAAAAAAAAAAAAAAAGGTTGGGTGGGATTGAGACGTTCTGGCTGAAGGTGGAGGGTTTGGAGAGATGCTCCGCTGGGAGACCATCCCCTGGGGTCTTCCTGTCCCAGCACCCTGGGGTTGCCTCCTGCCTTTTGCCTCATCTCAGGAGCACCTGGGGAACAATTCAAGGTTCTCTCTTTCTGGGAAAAGGCACTTGAGCTACATTTACCCTACAGTGCCTCCTAGAGAACCCCCCTGGGTGGGGATGGCTGGGTTGACTGGATTTGGCCCGCTGGACTCACTCACATGGGGTAAAAATTAGAATGTATGCCCTCCGGGCTTGGAGTCTAATGACCCCAACATAAGGAAATAGCCTTTCATAAATAACCAGGAGCCCTGGAGGCTCTGTAGAGGCAATGGACTGTGAACCACAAGGTTGGCAGTTTGAGCCCACCAGCTGCTCCAAGGGAGAAAGATGAGGGTTTCTGCTCTTTGCAAAGGTTTACAGTCTCAGAAACCCTTTACAGGGTTGGCTGTGAGTTAGAATTCGATGGCACTTAACAATAATTTTAATGGCTGCAGATCGCCAGGTCTTTCTTGTGTGGAGCCACACTGGAAAATGTGAACTGCCTGCATTTCGCTTAACAGCTGAACACTTAATCGCTGTGCCTCCTGGGCTCCTTAAAGCCTTTGTCTCTGACACGTTTCCTGATGGTTGAGATCATCTAGTTCTTGTCACCCACCTTGTACTCAGGCTATGGCCCACCCAACTCCCTTGCCCACCCTTCCAGCCCCCTCCCCAGGGTTCTCTGCAGCACAGTGGTGGGGGCGGGCAGGTGGTCAGGTGTCAGGTTACCTGCTCTCTGCTGGGGCGGCTGCCACAGCTACAACTTCTGCCTCTGGCTTCTCTTCGGGCCTGGGCAGGACAAATTCCGGCTGGGGCCGCCCACTGAGGACACAGAGAGCCACACGCTGAGCGGCTGGGGACCTCCGAACAGGGAGGGTCTAGGTCTGCCGCCCCTGCTCTGAGGGTGGAGGTGAGGGCTGGACCCCTGCCCAGGACCAGGGGTTAAGTGAAGGGGCCCTGAACACCACATGGGCATGAGGAGGAGGGGGCAAAAGACTCCTGATGATTCCTTCGGAGCATCTATCTCAGCTGATAGATGGGTGCATACTGCCCACCCTCTACTCCATGAGCAAGGAAGGACCCTGGTCAGCTGCCAGCCCCAATGTCTACCCACCACAACCCCGGGAGAGGTGGCTTCTGAGCCTACCTTTCCCTCCTGGCCTTGATTCTTTCTTCTTCGTACCTGGAAGAACAAAAAGGACATCAGACACAGCCATCTCTTCGCTTAGACGTCTGGTGGGGGTGGGTGGGGGTGTTCCTTCTTTTTGGGAGTGAGACATCATTCCCAGTATTTGAGTACATACTGAGCATTAGCTATGGTTCCAGTGGTCAGTCCACTGTGCTCCTTCAGGCCCCCTTGCCCATGAGACCAGAAGAACTGATGGTTTTGATCAAGGACACATTACACGAATCCGGACCCAAAGGCGAAAAACTATGTATATAAAAAAATTCAGCTTTCAAAATCAATAGTGGTGATGGTTGGCCAGTGGAATTAGTACGGCTGGACTGTACATATAAAAATGGTTGAAATGGTAAATATTTTGTTGTAGATGTATTGCTACAATAAAAAGTAAAAAAAGAAAAATTCTTGCAGAATCCAGACTCCCTGGGTCTATTGAGACTGGAAGAGCCCCTGAATCTACAGCTCTGAGAAAAATCTTTAAACCATAAACTGAAAATTTCCCCCAGAAGTCACCTTTAAATGAAATAAAACGTTCAGCTAACTTTAGCATCTTTAAAAGGATGTGAGCTATGAGCACTGGATTCTTTTATAGAAGATGAAGTTGTCAACCGTCAAACTCTACAGGGTAGATTAGAAGTTTAGGGGACAGTACGTTTAAGTCTAAGAAGACCTGGTGTAGTACTATAGGATAAGCACTTGGCCACAAGGTCGGTTTGAACTGAAAGGTCAGTGGTACAAACTCAACAGCTGCTCCTTGGAAACCCTACACAAGGTTGCTATGATTGAAACCAAATCCATGGCACTTAACAAGAGCAAACAACAAGTGGTTATTAGGTGCCATTGAGTCGGTACTGACTCATAGTGACGCTGTGCACAACAGAACGGAACACTGCCCAGTCCTGGGCCAACCTCACCATTGTTGCCATGCTTGAGTCCAT